AAATATTTATTTACCATAAGTAAATATTCCATTAGGACACTTCAAAGAAATATTTATTAAAATTTAACACCACAAATTTTTTTCTTAGTGTAGATAAAAAAAATACAAATTAGGATTTTAGATTTATATAGATGGATTATATAATACTACGTAGAATAAAAATTATAGAATTGAATTTTTCCATAACATGTGATATTGCTTGAAAATGTGAAACCAAAATTTGTTGTACTCTTCTCGAGAGTAACATTTAAAAAAAAAAAAACGTATTAAAATAAATTAATAATAATAATAATCCAAGGCAATATACGTATTAAAATACTTAAAAGCTATGCAGAATAAAAAGAACAGAGAACAGAGTGTAATAAAAAAAATACATAAATTACAATGTAATTTTACGATTTTTGTTCACACTGCTTGTCCATTTCCAATTTTAAATGTCGGATCTATTTCTACAATTCGGTACACAACATTGCACCATTTTAATTTCAAGATATTATGTGAGAGCTAAGCCGAGAAAACATGTCAGGACTTCACCGGTGCTGAGACTTGAACCCAGTTAGAGGTTAGAGTTGCATGCACATATATCACACTTGTCACTTGCGCATGCGTACAATAACAGCCAATCAGACTTAGGCATGTATTACCTCGTCGCACCGTCCCGCAGTGGCTTCCCCCCCGCAACGTTATGCTCTGTCTCTATATTTCTATGTCCATGTAGAATGCATAGGAAATCGTTCCGAATAACTAAAGCGCTTCATGCGCATTGACTAAATTGGAACAATTTCAAAACGTACGCACCACTGCACCAGTAATGCAGTATACGCGCTTCATGCGCAACTCGGAACGCACCCTAAGAAATTGACCAATCACGGTTGATAATTCTTCTCATATTCGATTGTGATTGGTCAATTTTTTACTTCTACAGTCTCATCCACTGCTACTGCCATTGTAGACCACGCATTTGATCTGTGTCCTACAGTCAGCCATGTTGAAAATTGTGCGTGGTGCTTTGTTCGAATATCAATACTAAATATATATTAATATACCAAATATACTACTGCTAATACTAAAAATTTATAGTATACATTACATGCATTATAGATTTTTAGCACTTTAGATGTTTTAGGTAATGAAAATCGAAATATAACCTTATATATATTAAATCATAAATGATTATATCTACATAAATGTTTGTTTTATTTGTAAAATATTACAAAAAATGTCTATATATAAAATTATTTATACAAAATATATAGAAATATTAATATATTTTTATTATACTATTTATTATATATTAATATTTTAACAATATTATAACATAATTAAATATTAATTATCTTCGTATTAATATATAGTATTATTAATTATAATTGTTAAATTATAATAATATTACATTATTATAATATTAAATATTTTTATTAATGTATATTATTATAAAATAGATAAAATTATAAAAATTATATATGTTCCATATAGTACGAATTGGAAAAAAACGTTTTAACGTAATAAGTAAAACAGAAATATTTACGTAAAAAATAAATGTTAATCAATTTTATCTACATTTATACGTATAAATATGAATATCATATTGATTAATTTAATTAAAAATTTTATTTTACAACATTAAAATATTATACATAGATAAGTATATAATTTATGCATCTATATATATTAATGAAAATAGGCGAGATTTAATAGTCCACATTGCTAATTAACTAATTTAATATACAATTTTCTGATTGATGGCCTAGTCCTAGTGGAATATCTCTAAACTTTAATAACTGTGCGAATGGTTGTATGGTATAAACGGATTCACGGAAAAATTAAACATAAAGTTTAATTAGTAAATATATTAAAACAAAAGGAAGAATAAGAAATTATTAAAAGTACACAAAAAGTTATAGTATTCGATTTCGTATTATAGAGTCACATGCATATCGACATGCGGATTTTTTGTAAAAAGATAGATAATATAGTAAAATATAGAGAATGTGGAATAGAGTTAAGAATGTAGGATACAGAAAAAATAAAAATAATTTACTTTTATGAACATTTTTATATAAAATTTATATAAAATTTTAACATTTAATATTTATTATTATATATTAACTTTATATATTATTTTATTTGTGCTGAAAAAGTTATTTTTTTATTATGTCTTTTTTGTTCTTTGAATTCTTTATTAATAAATTTTAGTGTATAATATAAACGCACTCTAACATAAAATTTAATCAAATAACTTTTTTGTAAATTTGGGCAGGCATTAGGAAACTCAACTTTTGAAAGTATGCATATAAAATTTCGTACTACGTTATCTTGGCTAATAATTTTAAAATTTTCAAAAAATTTAATATGCATTTCTTTAATGTAAGACACAAATACAGAACTAGGAATAAGTAAATTGCCATATATGTTCTTTTTAGTGCTACCAGTGGCGTAGCCAGGGGGGGGGGCTGTGGGGGCTACAGCCCCCCCCGAAATTCTTAATAGTTTCAATAATTTTGTAGTTTATTTTAATATTTAAAGAAATATAATTTTTTTAAACGTTTAAATTATTGCCAAAAACTTAGCGCACCTGTTTTTTATAAAAAAAATTTGAGCGTTTCTAGTAACAAAGTAAATCTGCAAAAATAGAAACACGGTTAACATGCAAGGCAAGGGCAAGGGCCTTTATCCGCTTTATCGGTACATGTCAACTACACTGAAAAAACTGTTTTGCTGTCGCAGCCCAATTTTGTGCTAATCCAGCAACTCACTTGGCCTGGTCAAACACAGCACAAGCTCTTCCGTGGTTTAGCACAAGTCTTTGGCTATTTTCGACATATAGGTATTATATTGCGCACGGAAAACAAAGGCTCGGAAAAAAGCATTAATTCAATAAATGCTGTTGACTTAAATTCGCTGTTTCTGAGGTGAAAAATGCATGAAAAATTCTGAAATTTTAACGATACATTCACAAGATACTAGCAAAACCGATAGGCAAACCGAAAGTGCCAAAATGTTTAACGAATTTTTAATATTAATTAACGAAATCGAGGTAAATTTAATGCGCTCGAAATTTGCGGTTTCCGAACTTTACCAAGGAAAAGTGTGTGACAAAATTCAAGTTAGCGAAAACTTCCAGTGAGAAAGTTGTTCATCAATGAATGAAGAAGGTTTCTACGAAGTTTTAAATTTTTTGAAACTAAAATTAGTGAATTAGGCACTATTTTCCAAAAAGCGCGTGGCGCATTATGGTCGACCGGCATGTCACACTTCTTGGAAAATAATGCATAATTAACACATTTTAGTTTCAAAAAATTTTAAACTTTGTAAAAACCTTATTCATACATTGATCAACAACTTTCTCACTGGAAGTTTCCTATAACTTGAATTTTGTAACACAACACTTTTCCTAGATAAAATCCAGAAACCGCAAATTTCGAGCGCATTAAATTTAGGTCGATTTTATTAATTAATATTAACAATTCATTAGACATTTTGGAAATTTCAGTTTGCCTATCTGTTTCGCTACTATCTTGTGAATATATCCTGAAAATTACCGAAAAAACAAAAAAAATAATAAGATTACAAAAAAAAAATAAAAAAAAATAAAAAATAAAAAAAACATGGAGCCAGAACCCATCACGTCCTCGTCGTTGGCTCTGGGTCGCGCTAAGTGTGGGTAATATTTTATGTGCCATGTGCGTAATTAATAGTTAATAATTATAACAAATTTAAAGCTACAGCTCCCCCCAAAACTTTTTTCTGGCTACGCCAGTGCTACCATATGCTTTGAAGTAGTTATAGATTTGTGATATATTCAAATTATTATTTTTTTCCAAAAGTAAAAATTCACATGTTTTGCATGTATGTTTTGTGAAACAGCGTTTTAACAAATATCCACAAATATACATAAACGCATTTTCTTCATTGATACAGATTACGATATTCATAGTCATCTATTTCCATATTAACAGAAGCATTTTTATCAATAACTGTCTGAATTTGCACTCTGTTACTGTATCTTCTTTCGCAATGTTTATACATTTTATTAACATTTCATCTTTGTCTTTTTCACAATTTCGTGTATTAACTTGGCAATAATTTACTCGAAATAACTTTTTGAATGAATAATAAAATTGAATCGATGTAGGGTTGTAAGCATTGCCATGTTGATTACGTACGTACAGTACCAAAGAAATTTTCTAAAGCATCTTGATTTAATCTGCGTGTAAGTAAGAATTTTATAGAAGTTGAAAATTGTTCCATTTCTGTCCATAATTGAAGCAACGATTTAATAGTAATGATCAAACACTTAATTGATTTTATTGAACGTGTAATATCTTTTCCAATCTTAGTTTTTACTTTTATACGTTGAAGAAATAATATTGTATCATTTAAAAAAAGTCTTTGTTCGTCTGAATTTACAAAAGCTTGTTTATCAGGATTACTATTATAAACTGTACAGGAATTTAGAATGTCAAATAGTTTATTAAAATGATATATAAACTCTGCTATAAATGCAGCTTCAGCAGGTAATATATCTAAACTTATATTATGTGTTAAGAGCAGCTGAAACAGTATTGCTTAATACCTGAGAAACATATTGAACTTTCATTTTTTGAAAGTTATTAGGATTAATATGTGCATCTGTAAGTTTAGGTGCAATACGACACTGCTTATTTTTGTCTATATTATATAAATCAGTTATGTATTGCCATGATGTAGCTTTATCATGTTCTACATAATTATGTCGCAAAAAATTATTTTTCGTTGCTTTTAACAAATGTGGAACATCAAATATATAAAATATTGTTTGATTATTTATTTTAAAATATGGCTTTTCAATATTAATATGTAACAATTCAGACAGTTTTACAAAATTTGAACCCATATCTGAGGTTACACCAACTACTTTCAAACCAATGTTTTTTAAATGTATTATCACTTTATGTAAAATATCTAATAAATGAGAAGCACTAATTGACGAATTTGACAAAAAATATGCTAATGGCTGCTTCCACTGAAAGATACCTCTAATTAATATTACTGCCGCGTTTACATGCAGGTGAATACAATTCATGTTTTATATAAGCATTGTTGTTTGAAAGCAGGAGTATATTTTCTACCCTTATCAAATTTTTGAAAAAGACGTGCTTGCGCTTTTAAAAAATGTGCTGTTTCTGGCGGAAAAAATTTATCAACTGCCATATCTAATACATCCATATTTATATCCATATGCTTTTCTTTTTTTATGATTTCTAAGTTTCGTATTTTTGATTGAGCACGTGTTAATGTTTTCAGCAGTTGGAATTTTCGTGGTGACTTTGCTGATAAAGATGTCTGAATATTTACGTCTTTTTGTTTATGTTCTGTTCTTTCTATGTGATGAGATTCTGCAATTATATCAACTACACGTTAAAATCAAAATACATGTTAAAAAAATTGTTATATTTTAATATAAATAAAACATTATAATATTATAGGTTAATATTTAGAATATATAGATATACCTGATAAATTCTCTTGTTTTACATTTGATAAATGATCTTCTAAAGAAATGGGAATATTTGTATTTGCGGAACTTGCCAATGGTCCTATGTTTATTTGATCATGCATTAAGCCTATAAAATCAATAATAGTAATATAATATCAGTAATAGTGAATTTATAATTATTATTAATAAATACATATATAATATCGTTTTACACGTTAATATTAAAATAATAAAAATTTCAAATATTTAATTTTATATGTATATTTACTAATATTTACTATTATTTAACAGAGAGGATGGAACAGCATGTGGCTGTAACCGTGTTTTTTCAAAATTTAAAAACATTGTATCAGCAAAATGATCTTTGCATATTCTATAACTATTATGTAAAATAATAGAATCTTTTGCAGCTAGTTCCTTTCTATTACAAGCTGTGATCCATAATTTGCACCTTAAAATATAATATAATATATACATAAAGATATAAATATAGAGAAATAATATATTCGTTATATATTGTATATTTTCACAAATAATTTAGCTATTAATTAACATGCAGTGTTACACATTTATATATACATATATTTTTTTACTCTACTAAAAAAATTACGTCACAATATTACATAATGAAATCATGTAATTAAAATAGGTAAATTACGTAACGGATTGTTTTAAATCAATACGTGATTTTTTTTTAATCGCGTAATTTGAAGTCTCACAAACACAATGATATGTTTTTTCTTTCTATTCCTATCATTTAATTCTTTAAAATTTGATAACTATAAAATCACATAACAGATAATATTATTTATAATATCATATGATTTTCCAAATTACGGGATTTTAAAACATAATGTAATGATTTGGAACAATCCATTACGTAATTTACTTGTTTTAATTACATGATTTCATTATGTAACTTTGTGATATGATTTTTTTTCTGTAAGATATACATATAACCAATTACGAGTTTTTTCAAAACAGATATTTTATATTAAAAATTTAAACATGTTATATAAATGTAAACAAATATAAAATTATTTTAAAAAATATATATGGAAACATACCTTTCTTTATCTTTAGGAAATCTAAATAAAGTGCTTTTTATTCCATCATTTTTTCCGCTAACATTAATGCAATTTTTAAATGCGCACCGATATCCGCTTCTATTGCTCATTTTTTTAAATACAATCAAAATATGTTTAGAAATCGCTGGAAAAATATTTAAAAATGTTAACTGAACCTAACAAATTAATAAATAGACAACAGTCAGAATTATATATTTATAGGTTATTTTTCGGACACATTTCATATATTCAGCATATTTCATCTTTAATGTATGTCAATGCAAAATATTACCAACAATTTAATTTGCTAATAAAAAAGATTTAATAATTTCTCATGTTTATTAATTTTGTAGTTAAAACAGTAAATGAAAAATACAAAATTATTACCGATTATTCACTGCACACATCGACACTACAATGACACAAGTATAGGCTGCTTTCCAGCTACGACACAAGTAGACACTGTGTAACACAGTGAATCATTGCATCCCTGTTGTTTGCCTATGTTAAACGAGGATGAAACGATTCTCTGTGTTAAGCGGGGAGCACAGACTTTTGCATCATATATGTAATACTACTATATGGCTAGTGCCTATAAGAGGGAGTGAGAGGAAGCGGTCCCAGAACCACGGTGCGGGAATATATATATGTATATTTCCCTCTCTTTCTAAGAGTACTTTGAGTGTTGTGCGCATGCGTTGGATTGATTGCATCCGCCAATTATATGATGCACATTTATTTCTTAACACTATATTTTGCAATTAAATATACCCACAAAATATATTATTATTAACTAATTGTACAGCAATATTGTGTATGTATAGCATATATCTTGTATATATACGGAATTAGAACAGGAAGTCACAATAAAGTCAAAATGACATTAAAATGATTGAAAAATTACTTTTATTGATCATTTTGGAATAATTTTAACATCATTTTGATACAATGATGACTTGTTTTGCTTGAATATATAATTAATGTGGTATTTCATATTTTGAAATATTATATGGCTCGAATAAAATTACTTATATTTATTATATTTTTTTCACATTGAATATAGTAACCGATTAGGAAATGCAAGAATACTCTCTCTCTCTCTCTCTCTCTCTCTCTCATAATTTTGTAATTTAACTTTTTTTTACTTAAAATGACGATTATTTTGTACAGATAACCTATTCTCCGTAAAGCTAATTCGGTCTACGTTCTCTGTTTTTTTACACTTTCTTAAATACACCTGAATACACTGAATAATTATTATAATTAAACACGTATCACTTATCACTTTATCACACGTAGTACTTCTCACGTAAAATTCGTCGTGTTCCCGCCACTTTCCGTTAAATGGTCCTTTAAATGCCTTATATGGACATTTCAATGGAGCTGACAGACGCCGACAATAGGAAGAAGAAGTGAGATAGAATACAGTGCCCTGATTGGTTACGCGCCTCACTCTCGCATGCGCACTCCATTTTAGGCTTCACAAAATCAGGAGAGTTGCGCTACTGTATATACTGTGCCATAGCTTGTGATTTCATATCTAGTGACTTTATATTAGAATCTCTACGAGTACCATTGGGTGCTTTCAGCAGAAAAAAGTGCTACTAGAGCGCTCGCTGTTATTGGTGTATGTATTCTTCTAGATCTAAAATTCTGATTAGATAATCTAAAAAAATACACCAATAACAGCGAGCGCTCTAGTAGCACTCTTTTTAGAGTATAGGTACTCCAACTCTTTTTTACTGAATGCGTCTATTCTTGTATTTTTGCATACACGATTTGGCGCGCGTTATTTGTCGAATAGTTTTTTTTTCTCGTGCTTTCTTCTCTCGTGCCGTCTTCGTATAAAACGGCCGTGATCGTTACGTATTCATACAAGTAAGTAAATCTGGAGACACGGTAGTGTCTTAAGTATTAACTCGACATAAATATTGGCCATATTAATCGTAGTAATAATAGTAGATTTGCTTTCAGTAAAGGGTTTATATCTATATATGTACACATCCCAAATGTCCAATATCATGGATATGGACGTAAGTAATTTCATTCAGTTTTCTAATAAATCAAGTGACTTCTGAATCACAACGTTAGATTTTTATCGCAAAATTATCTTATGTAAATCATTTTTGAAATGTCGAAATTTGGCATCAATTTTGATTATACATGTCGATATGTTGTTGTAGCCCGCGAGTGCTACCACAATTAAGTCTCGCATTTCAGCCTAGCAACGAGCTGGCGGAAATGCAAGATTATTACTGCAAAGCAACCTTTGCATTTCGGCATAGCAACGACTTGCGGAAATGCAAGGCTGCATTCCTTAACACGTGCGGACAACGATCACTGATCGAACGCAAGCAATGACCGCGCGCACATCGAACAATTATTAATAAAAAGCAATCTTGCATTTCGACAGAACAACGAACTGCCGAAATGCAAGAGGACGAAGTCCGCATTGCACACGGCACGAATGCCGCTAGTTCGATGCAGGGTTGCCAGATGCCTTAATCGGAATTATGTATCCGTCGCCTCGATATTATGGTACATTATGGTACGCATATGTATAGTTTATGGATGGCGCGAAAAAATTTTTTTCAAAAATTTGTTTAAAAATTTGATTTTGGAAGGAATAAAACAAAATTGTGCTTTTTGTCTATTGCGTTATTTTGCGTCTAGATTAAATTGAGACATACCATGCAAAGAGTATTTTCGAGATGTAAATTAAATTCAATATAATTTACTTTTTTTTTTAAATAATCTAAAAAATTGTAATAGAAGAATACGTAAGAAAAAGGTGTTACGAAATATGAAACATGATTTCTTATCTGATTATTCTTTTCAAGAGATTCTAAAGTGCTCAGTCAATAAAGTTTATTCTGGCGTTTCCGAACGACGCCTTTTATTCATGGTTACACACACTATTACACTTTGGCGAACAAAAATACTTCAATGTTTAATTCTGATATGATTGCTTCTGCTCATGAAACATAAAACACGCCCCGAGTTTTCTAATACTCAAGAAGAAAAATATGCGGCAAGCTAGACGATCATTAACAGTAGGGTTTGTTTACTTCTGTACTGTATTAGTTCTTTGTTTGAAGTTCACCTTGAATAAATTTCTATATGACAAAATTCGACAATATTATTTATTGCCAGACCTTGTCACATTTTTCCATGTGCACTATCATATGTCATACAGTGTATGAAATTACAAAACTAATCAATTTACTGAAATATTCGTACAATTTGCCTAGGTTATCGCGTATAGTTTGCTCTTTGAAATTTGTTGTCACACGCGCAAAAGCAGCCATAGAAGTGAGTGAGTTGAAAAGATGGTAGGTAGCAGCATGATATCGATTACCGACTGTACCGACCAGGGCCGAGCACAATCCTCGAAAGTCAAAAGCGAAACTCAAACGCGAATGCTACACTCAGTTCGCACTGGTGCACACTACTGCCGTCGCTGAAAAACTCCCGCGTACCCCGCATCCGCGCACGTTCTATTCGAGCGTAGAAAGACATACATGTGTATGGTGAAATACATAAAATTTATGGTACGCTGATGAAATTATGGTATTTTTATGGATTATGGTACTCAAAAATTCTACATGGTACGAGAGTAAAAATTATGGTACGTTTACATAATTATGGTACGGTCTGGCAACCCTGCACATATATGTATATTTATCCTTCTATTTATTATTGATGGAGGGGATGAATCCGACGCATGCGCACAACGTTCAAAGTACGCTGAGAAAGAGAGAGAAGTATATTCCCGCACCGTGGTTCTGGGACATGGACTTCTCTCTCATCTAGCCATATAGTAGTATTACATATATGATAACAGTAGTCACTCTGTCTTGCGCGCGTGCGCGTGCGCGAGAGAGAGAAAGAGAAAGATTATAAAATATAGGGTCTGTTTTTTGTTCCTGCACTGTCTGAACTAGTACACACGGTGCAATAAGTTGAAGTGAAACAAATATACTGCACTGTAATAAATTGCACTGTTTGCATTAGTTCAGACCTTAAAACACAGAAACAAAAAACAGTCCCATAGTTATTACATATTTTAGGCCCTGCGCACAATGGTGGAATAGGAATAGGTTAGAGGCCTAGAAAACAGAGATGCGACATAGCGTCGGTTGGGTTAGGTAACCACCGCCATTTTAATTCAATATCAATATAAGTGCTCTTGACCAATAAGCTGATGACAGTTGATGCAAAAGGTAGAAAGATTAGATTAGGTTAGGTTAAGTCCGATATTAAATATTCACACAAATAAGAATACTTCCACCATAATAATAGTTTTTTATTGCACTTCGACACTGTATTGTCTAAATTTTTCTCTATATATATATATATATATATATGTACATACGTTATAAAACTATATCTATTAGATGCAATAGTGAATTAAAATGGTTCTCTGATCACGTGATTTAGACCAAAGACATAGAGAATGGACTGCGCGATCCCGTATCTATGTAGTATCAAAATGTGTCGACGAAAATGAGAGAGAGAGTCCGTGGAAGACGGCCATCTCTATCTTTTTCCATTCCATGGTGTAATGGAAGAGAGAATGAGAGAGAGATGGCCGTCTTCCACGGTCCCTCTCTCTCATTTTTGTTGACCATTTTGACACACGGGTCGCGCAGTCCATTCTCTATGGGCGGTATTCATAGTCAGTTCTTATATTCAAGACCGTCTTAAGTTCAGTCTTGAAGAGTTATGAACCAATCAGAGGGCCGCTTTAGCATCTTAAGACATTACTTAAGACAGTCTTGAAATAAGAACCGACTATGAATACCGGCCTATGAGTATCCTGTGTGCATGTTAGTGCGTATGTGTGACATCAGCCGGCAGCCACATGTGTGTTCCCGGTGTTAGGGTCTGCGCACAATGGAGGAACAGATATTAGATATTAAAATATTAACCTATCAGAATCGTGTATTTCGGTGTAACTGGTATCTGGATAGGTTAATATTTTAATATCTAATATCTGTTCCTCCATTGTGCGCAGACCCTTAAGATCACATATGCAATATTATGTCTATATATAGACATCTGTGTATATTATGGCCCGTATTCAGAACGCGCTAACAACGATGTTAGCGCACTAACATGCTAGTTTACGTCACGTATACTATAGAATTTCAGAGATAAAAGCGCGCTTTTATCGATAAAAGTGCGTTCTGAATACGGGTCTATATTAGTACTTTTCGATACAAGGGCGTAAAAGTTTTTTCTGCGAATGTGCGCGTTGCGTCCCGAGCCGAAGGCGAGGGTCGCATGCACATTCGTTGGAAAAAACATTTACGCCCATGTGCCGAACAATATTTTTTGTTGCAGTGTGCGAAAAGTGTCCTCGAAAATCGAAAAAATCACACTTTACGCACACTGTAACAAAAATACATAT